CCCATCCAATAAGTGAGATAATGCATCAAAAACTATATATCCATATATTAAAGATGAACTGAAGCAAAGTGCAGAAAAACTGGGCATTAGAAATGACTTTTAGTTCTGTCAGGATAATGAGCCAGAGCATTCTGCATTAAACACTAAGTTTTGGTTATTATATAACTGCCGAAAAGTGATAAAAAACCTTCGCAAAGTCCAGATTTAAATCCAATAGAACATGTTTGGGTTCAGTTGGAGTCCAAATTAAGAAAACGTAGCTTTTCAAACAAGCAACAGATGCAACAGGTTCTAATCGACAAATGGGCTAATATAGATCCACCTATGACAACAAAATTACTCCAATCAATGCCAAAGCGTTTAAAAGAGGTAATAAAATGTAAAGGACGTTTAACAAAATATTAAATTTAAGTTATTGTTACTAAAATTAAAACTAATAAACAGAATACAAATGTTGAAAACTGCACTATTATTTTTTTTCATTTTTTTGTTTTTCTTTTTGATGTTATTACAACATTACAAAAAAATTTAATTAATGTTGAATACTTTTCTTGACCGCTGTAAATTTAAAATGATTGATATTTAAAAAAGAAAACAACATTAAAAAAAATTCATTCAATTTAAATATTCATGAAATTCAAATTTAAAAACTTTTAATAACTTCTAAAGATTTTGATGCTAATACTCCGTTTAAATTACTGGTGATAATAACAGTTAATTATGTCCGCTTGAAAAAAAAATCGTATTTAATATAACGGTTCGAATACCTGCTAGTGAGTCCCCTGATTCTGTGCCGTTCATTTGGTTTTACCGCAACTGCAGAAGTCCTTTCTTTTCTTTCTTTCTCCTTACCAGCAACAATTCCATGCAATTTCCAATTTTTAGGGTCTTTCTTCTTAGTAAAATGATGGCTTTGAGGTCTTATTATGCACCATTAAGGTCTGTACTTTATATATTTTTCTATCACATTCTTAGGCCCATCGAATTCGAGTCATAACGTTCATACAAAAAAATATTCATGAATGTTTTTCAGTTTTATATACGTTCTTGCGGACTTGTGGCTGAATTGTGTATAATCTTGTTAACTTACTTTAGTCGTTTATTTTTTTTTTCTTTACTACACTAAAATAGATATATGATATATAGATATATGTTTCTGTTTTTCTTGTTTTTTTTTATTAATTCATAGTTCTTTCTATTATTTGATAATTTAATTGCACAATATATATTCACTTATAAATTCTTCTGAAAAATGTATTTTTTTATTATTTAACAAGTTTCATAATAAATAATTTACAAAACTATATTCAATTATTATGTCTTTGTTCAATGTATTTTTATTTAATAATTTTTATAATAATTAATTTAACAAGTTAAATTTTTATTTTTATTTAATTTAATTGTTACACCACTTCACTTTAGTTCAACAATATTTTCTTATACGAATCTTTAATTTGAAATTAATGTCAAAAAATTAATGTCTTTTGTATATCTGCATTCTCTTTATTTGTTTTGTTTAGTTTTGTTTGCCTATAATGAGGGGATTAAACTTTAACAAAGCTCATCTTTCACTTTTACATAATAACCAATATTTTTTCTTTTATATTTCCGTTTGCTATTTCTATTTGGCAAATCCTCATTCTCTCATCAATTCGAACTTCAGTGCAGTTTTTGCCAAGATTCACCTTGATTGTAAAGATCAAAACAAACAAAAAAAATAGCAAATGCAAAAGCTTCAGTTTTTACTTTTGTTTTTCCATTAATAGCGTGCGCGCAATGCATGTTAATTTTATTTGTTTCCAGAAAAACAATATTTTTTAATAATTTTAGTTTTAAATAGATTTTAAGCTTTGTTCTAATGTCAAAGTTGAGTAATAGTCATTCAACTCGATGCTACTGACGTATTTTGAGTTGCGAAGGCGATCCAGAATATGATGTACATGGGGCGAAGGATAGGCATCCAGGATTGAATTAGTTGTTAGTGGTCCACACAAAAACGCCATGCACCATTTTTTATATTTACCAATACCACTGGTGTTCTTTAAGGCCTTTTGGATGACTCGATGCAATTCTTTTTTAACAGTTCATTTACCTTCTAGTCGATGATTCGTTGCATTGATGGATTTTTGGATTTTTGAAATTGATGTATCTTTGTTTTATGAGACGGCCGTCCTAATTATCTTGTTTTTCTTTTTTAAATACTTATACATTTATTTATTGTATCTTCTTTCTTACAATGAGACTAACAATAAGTTTTAAAATCTCATCACTAATTATCACGAACCTTACTTAGATTAATGGGTTAAATTTTATTGGAGTGAATTTTAGGTGGTTTCTTAAGAAAGTGGTTCAACTTTATCAGATTACTTAAAAGAAAGGTGCGGTTATTACTTCAAGCTATTGAATATTAATTAATGACTGGACGGTCAGCTCTTTTTAGACGGGGAGTAATGGATAGATATGCGAGATTTCTTGCTAAGGCATTAACATGTTGTGTCAGCCTTTTATCAAATTTTTGTCTTATATTGTCAAATTCAGTTTTAACTAAGAGAATTTGTAGGTCTCGGTGGATACTATCATTCTTTGTATACCATGGGGCACCAGTGATTGTTCTCAGTATTTTTAACTGAGCTGTTTGGATAGTTTCAATATTTGAAGCACTAGCATTGCCAAATAGCTGGATACTATAAGTCTATATTGGTTTTATGATGCTGTTATACAAAAGTACTTTATACTCTAGGCACAGTTAAGATCTGCTATTAATGACCCAATGCATCTTAGAGGCTTGAAGCTTCAACTGAATTTTTTAATTTAATTTAATTTTAATTCGCCATTTTGACAACCATTTCTTCACCCGAAGTTGGTTTGAAGCTAGCACAACGTTTTTGTTTCGACATAAAATTGCCATATCATCAGCAAACGTTTTGGTGAAAACTGAATTACTTATTGGGATATCAGATGTACAAAGCACATACAAGATAGGGCCAAGAACACTTCCTTGTGGAACACAATGACCACACACAATACGTTGTGTGCGATATTTAATGTGTCACATCAAACCGAAACACTCAAATATCAAGCATGACCGAAAAACCTAAATTGTCAAGTATGATATAATTTATGGGTCAGAAATTTGACTCGTCTATTTTGTCATTTCTTTATGACAAAATATTTGTATGCATATTTAATTGTTCCAATATGCATTTGACAATTTAGATTGCGGCATGCTCAGCACATGAAATTGTGTTAAGTGTTTCACAGATCATATTGCAAGCAATTGTGCATGCAATATGATTTACCCTCAATACAGTTGGTCACCAGATGTGTGCCACTGTGAAATAGAATATAACTGACAAATGTAAACTATTATATACGTCTAATTTGGGTTAACCAATTAGACGATAGTAATTTAAGTATTAACCAATAGAATCATTAGATAAGATTCTATTGGAAATTAGTCATAAGAAATTATGTTAGATTTAAGGAAAATATAAAAATAAAAATCAGTCTTAACATGACGAGCAATACGGGAAGATGTTTTACTTATACAAAAAATCTAACGACCAAATAAAATATAATCTTATTATTACATGGCGATCCTGCCAAACTGGCAAAGGACCTAAACTATAAAAAGTGTAAAAACTGTTAAAAATAAAATAAACTTTAAACTTTTAATTAAATTAATTAAATAATAGTAAATAATGTTCAAAGAAATTGTGAAACATACAAACAAGAATAAACGAATACCAATTAAACATTAAATAATTAAATAATGTGAATGAAAATAAATAATGTTCAAAGAAATTGTGAAACATACAAACAAGAATAAATGAATACCAATTAAACACGCGTTATGAATGTGACGTCAGTGAAATATTTTAATGTAGTATAATATAGTAAAACGTAATGATACTACTGCGACACTATATTCATATTTGATATCATCTGAGTAATATAAACAAAACATTTGTGTAATGAAGTTAAAGATATCTTATAAAATTAATTGAAAAAAAAAAAAGAAAAAAAAAATGTGACAGTGTTCTCGAGCATAAGAAAATTTCAAAATTTTTCTTCTCAAAGCTCTAACCATATTATCATATACACTTTTCGTCCTATAAGATGGTAAAAATAATCGCTGTCAATTAAGCAACAAGTGAACAAAAATTCAAGGAGAAAACTTTCCAGTTAAGAATATAGCAAATTTCATCATCAACGACTCAACGATGGGATGGTTCTCCAGCGATGAATACAACACGAGGAACAACGTCCAACAAAAGACAGAGGTGACCAACAATAATCTACAAAACAATGCAGCTACAAGCACCGGAAATATAGAGGTAGTAATTATAACTTTATTGATAGTATTTATTATTTTATTCGTTGCATATAAGATAAATAAGTACATAAAAAAATATGTACATAAACGTGTACACATGGCATTAAATTCCAATAACGTTTAAACATTAGCATATCATTATATTTAGACAAATTATAATATTATTACATATATTTTTTTTTCTCATTGTTACATTTACGCAATTATTATATAACTATAATATTATACATTCAAAAAAATTTACAAAAAGATAATGAATTATATCTAAGAAAGAAATAAAAACAATCATAACAATTAATTACGATAAAATATCCAGTATTATTATATAAAATTTTTTTTTCTCTCATACAAAATATACAAAAAAAAAATGTATAAGAATTTGATTTGTGTTGAATTTTGCTTTCTGATTTTGATTTATTACTGATTTTGATTTATGGAAAACTTTGCTACATATATAGGGGAAGTTCAGAATATTCTTAAAAACGCCAAAAAGGCTAGTATCAGAGGATATACTAAGCCCACGATAGCCATTAAACTAAATAGGTTAGATGACCTTAAAAGGCTTATAGAAGCAACATATGTAACCAAAAATTTTGAGGAATTTTTAGCTTTAAAAGAAGTTTTTTTAGAAAAATATACTCAGACAAGAAAATATCTCTTGAATATGACATCAACTGAACAGACACCTGACGCTATAACCATAAATAACCACATAACAAGTGGTAATCAAAATAACAACGGCACACAAATAGCAAATATGGCGTCGTATGACTCTGTAATAGAAAGTGTAGAAAAACTCCTACCCGTTTTTACAGGAAAGCAGGAAGAATTAAGTTCTTTCTTGCGACGATTGAATTTGTATAGCAAGAAGATTAGAGACGAAGACAAACAGGAGTTCCTAGAGCACATCGTAGATTGCAAACTCAATCACAATGTGAAGATAAGAGTTTCGCCAGTAGGTTTTCCAACTTCAATGGAAACATTGGTAGAGAAACTCAAGTCAATATACATACCGAAAGACACAGTTCCAATTCTCTTACAAAAAATAAGTGAAATTAGGCAAGGCCACAACCAGTCGATCACGGAATATAGTGATAAAATGGCCAAACTATTGTCAGACCTGAATACAGCGTCTCTATTAAAGAGAAATTATAGTGCAACCTCACCACAAGCTGAAGGGATGCTAGCAACTAACGAAGAGAATGCATTACTGGCATACAAAAAAGGCCTCAATGCAACATATTCGCAAGCTGTACAGATGTCACAGCCCAAAACTTTCCAGGAAGCGAGAGAAATCGCTGAAAGTTTACTTTTCACTGAACAGAACCAAAGAATGCTATACTACCGTGGTAACACGCCAAATGGCAATAGACCAAATGGCAATAGACTTAGTGGCAACTGGTCCAATAACAATAACAATAATAATAATAACAATCGAAATAACCGGTACCATAACGGAAATAACTGATATAACAATAGAAATACATATAATAATAGTGGTCAAAGAAACCACAACAATCAAAATAACAACAACTCAAATAGGAATCAAAATAATTCTCTTAACAGTAACAACAGGAATGTCCAAATAAATCGAAGTAACAACAATAACAACTGGAGACAAATCAACAATAGAAACAACAACAGAAACGGAAACGGAAGGAACATTCGTTTAACAGCAGCACAGGAAAACTGCAACACACCAGAGGGAAACCAGTAGAATTCAACTCTGGTAAAATAAAAAAATATATCTACTCATTCAACCCACATTCATCGAACTATATAAAAGTTCATTCCCAAGACACTAACAACTATATAAAATTATTAATCGACACAGGAGCAGATGTATCACTAATCAAAAACAAGTTTAATCTAAATTATAATTCGAATAAAACATGTACATTATCTGGTATCACAAACAACTATATAAATTCCATAGGCATCACGACTCTTCATATGATGTTTGAAAATATAAATTTAAAGCATGAATTTTAGGTGGTGGAAGAGGATTTTCCAATTGAAGTAGATGGCATCATCGGTGGAGATTTCCTAACCATCTTTAAATGTAATATTGATTATTACACTTTTTCGTTAACAGTTACCCACAATGAACAACAGATAACTATTCCCATATCATATAAACCAATTGTTCTACAAGCAAGAACAGCATTAATATTTATTGTCAATTAATGCATAATTTAATAGCTTGTTAATAAAATAATTTTGTATAAATATAAGAAATAATGTTAATAAAGTTCAGAAGGAAAAGAAAAATCAATTATAACTTTCTTACTTTCTCGCATCGGTTAGTTTGGGTTTCAAGTGCTCAAACTAATCAAAATAGAAAATACAAGTAGTTTGGGTTACAAGTGCTCAAACTACATTACACATAAAAATTGGCTACCAAGCTAACACAGATTAAGGATCTGGGTTAGCACCAAGTAGCGTACATTTTTTGGTGACCCCGACGTGATTGTTGATGAAATATCAGCCTTCATTTTGTCGAAATACATATCGAAGGAGTCAATTACCTACAAAAGGACACACCAAAAGGTCTACTCAGTAACCAGCTGAAGTATTTATTCATTGGAATTTTCGGACCGAAAATTCAAACATCGCCATGGATGCGTTATTAAAGAAGCAGTCAGAGCTCGGTACAGAAATTGAGCGACTGATAACCAATTTCAAAAAGGATTCTAGTACCCGCAAGCAGGATACCACATATTATGAAGATCGGCTAAATAAACTAAACACGTTGTGGGATAATTTCGAATCTAATGATGCTGAAATCAAAGTACTGCCACAATCTGAACTTCAAAATGAATATTTCAGTGCAGACTATTTCAAAAAAATCTCCAATCTAGTAGTCACATATGATGAAAGATTCAAGCTGGAGAAATCAAGGCTACTCCTGAAACCACAGGACGGTAAGCCAGTAGTAAGCCCAAGAGGGCCAAATAATACTACATCGCTCATGCGAACCATGCAGAAGCAATCCTCATTAATGCATGCACTACGCACGAGCATAGATGAAATATATGAAGAAATAACCATAAAACATCATCCTAGTTATTATGATCTGAAATATTCTCTGATAGAAAAATATCAGAAGGATCTGAGGGATAACAATGATGAAATATGGTCATCAGCCGACGCACAAGACATCGTCGGATATACTTGGGATCAATATTATTCAACGGATAAAGATGCCCAAAACGCGTTAATATATTTAAAACAACACAGTCAACCAACTGAAGGATTGACGTCAGAGGGGCCTGCAGCAACTCAACAAATCAGACTTCCAAAAATAGTTTTACCAACATTTGATGGAGACTATTTGAAATGGATTGAATTTAGAGATTTGTTTCAACAATTGATCCATGATCAATCAATAAGCGCAGCCCACAAAATGTTCCATTTATCTACAAACTTGGCAGGTGAGCCGAAAGCCCTCATACGGCATCTGCCAATTTCCGAGCAAAATTATAATATAGCTTGGGATATTCTGTCAAATCGGTATGACAACAAACGACTCTTGGTGACAGCATTACTAAATAAATTGTTATCACAACCAAATATAACAATTGAATCAGCAAGCAGTCTTAAGGGCATACATGATGTTACAAAAGAATGTTATTATGGATTAGCAGCTCAAGGTATTGATGTTAAATCTTGGGACGCCATAATGGTTCACGTAATTATTAGAAAGCTAGACAAAGCTTCACATACGGCATTCGAGCAATCGTTAGAAGACAGCCGAAGAATAATTTCATTAAAAGAATTATTGCGGTTCCTAGAAGGAAGATTTCAGGCATTCGAATCAATGACGAATGGAAACCACAAACAAAGTCACAAACCACGACATCCAGCAGTAGCACTTGCAGCTACAGACTCAGGATCAAAATGTATTACTTGCAATAGTAGTCATCAATTATTTTCATGCGAAACTTTCAAACGTAAATCCATACAACAGAAGCACGATTTACTAAAACGTCATAAATTGTGCACAAACTACATGAAACCTGGTCATATGGCATTACAATGCTCCAGCAGGGGTTGTACTATATGCCAAAGAAGACATAATACACTGTTGCATCAAAATAGACACCCAGTTCAACCATCAAATCATACGTCAGTTGAAAACACTTCAAGGCCACTTGCACAAACAACTCTAATGTCGTCCATCAATCATGGTCAGACCAGTTGTGTTCTTTTGGGAACAGCAAAACTTTTAGCATCCAACTCTAATGGAAGAACAGTCGAGTGCAGAGCAGTATTGGATTCAGGTTCACAAATAAATATTGTGACTGAACGACTGGCATCCAGATTGGGTCTGCAAGTAAGCTCCAGTTCGATTTGCATCGAAGGCATAGGGATAGGTAAATTGAGTTCTAAAAGTCGTACAACACTTTCTGTGCAATCAAAAGTGACCGATTACAGAACAATACTTGAAGCATTTGTGTTGCCAAAAATTGTATCCAATCAACCATCGCAACACTTACAAATTTCAAATTGGAATCTGCCCAATAATATCCAATTAGCAGATCCTACATTCTATAAGTCTGACAAAATTGATATGTTGCTTGGAGCAGAATTTTATCATCAACTCCTAAGTCCTGGTCAAATACAACTTTCAAGGGAACTACCAATTCTACAGAACACTGTGCTCGGATGGATCGTATCTGGAAAAATCCAAAATGCTAACACAATGATTCCAACATGTGGAATAGCATCAGAAGATAGTTTAGAAAATGCAATAGAACAACTTTGGAAGGTTGAAGAAGTTGATACTCACTCAAAGGTCTTGTCAATAGCAGAGCAACAATGTGAAGCTCAATTCACTCAAACTACATATCAGAATGTTACGGGACGATTCATCGTTCGTCTTCCTTTTATAAATGACAGATTCGCTTTGGGAGATTCGAAAGACATTGCTACAAATAGATTTCTAGCACTAGAGCGTAGACTTTCAAAGGATAGTCACCTCAAACGACAATACGTAGAGTTTTTAGATGAATATGAAAAATTGGGACATATGACCGAAATAGATATTGAAAGGATTATGTCACCACATTACTTTATACCACACCATTGTGTGCTTAAACCTGATAGTACCACCACCAAGTTACGTGTGGTATTTGATGCATCATCCAAAACAACATCAGGGCAATCTCTCAACGATTTACTACACACCGGACCAACTGTTCAAAGTGAATTACTATCTATTTTATTACGATTCCGTCTTCCTCGTTATGTGTTTACAACAGACATTGAAAAGATGTACCGACAAATACTTGTACATCCAGAAGACAGACAATGTCAACTTATTGTTTGGAGAAATGAACCAAGTCAACCGATAAAGTACTTTGAACTCAACACAGTAACATATGGTACTAGATCAGCACCGTATCTAGCAACCAAATGTTTGCAAGTTTTAGCTGATGACAATATGCAAAATTATCCATTAGGTGCATCTGCTCTCAAACAAAACTTCTATGTAGATGACTGTTTACACGGCGCAGATAGTCTGAGAACATTGTTGGAAACTCAGAGTCAATTAAACAAAATACTGACAGCAAGCGGTTTTAAATTGCGAAAATGGTGCGCAAATCATCCAAGTCTACTACAAGGAATTCCACACGATGACTTAGAAGTCAATTTAGATTTAGAAAATAATAACGATACAACAAAAACTCTTGGGTTATCCTGGTGTCCAAAATCTGATAGTTTATGCGTCAAGGTTAAATTGGAACCTGTTTGCAGCACGACGAAGCGCAGTGCAACTTCAGATTTAGCAAGGCTATTTGATCCACTAGGACTTTTGTCACCAGTTGTGGTGATGGCAAAGATCTTTATTCAAGAATTATGGAATTTAAAGATGGATTGGGATGAAAAACTGCCGACTGAATTACATAAACAGTGGTTAGAGTTCCGGAACAATTTGACGAAAGTAAATTGTCTACAGATATCTCGTCATATTTTCAAGGGCGAAGTTCCTGCCAACATTCAATTACACATCTTTACAGATGCATCAGAAAAGGCATATGGTGCTGCAGCGTATTTGCGATCAACACTTCAGAATGGTCAAATTATTGTACGACTATTGTGCGCTAAGTCTCGGGTTGCACCTTTGAAAAGGTTGACATTACCTCGTCTCGAACTTTGTGCAGCTGTGGTTGGCGCAGAACTAGCAACAAGAATAAAGAACGACCTACAAATAAGAAATTACCAGACGTTCTTTTGGTGTGATTCACAAATAGTGATATCATGGATCAACTCTCCATCATCAAAATTTCACACTTTCGTTGCAAACAGAGTAAGCAACATTCATCAATTAACAGCCACAAGTCAGTGGCGCCACGTCAGTTCGGAACACAATCCAGCTGACATTTTATCAAGAGGCCTTGCACCCCATAAACTACAGTCATCAAGTATGTGGTTTTATGGACCTATGTTCCTGCATGGTCGGGA